GCTCCAAAACTCTAAGATGAGTCACAGCTCATCTTTTCGTTTTTATTTACACAAAATGATAAACATAAATATAGAGCCCAACGAATGAGCACCCTGCACCAGAAGCTGCAGCCAAGAAAGAGGGCTGCTCCACCCAAGTTAGCAAAGGTACCTTGGTTCATAGCATCCCATGATTTCCACCCATGTGGATGGTAGAGGTGAGGTTACTATGGCAAACCTACATCTTCACAAAGATTGAGATCTACTGAAGTATTCACTATGAATATTGGTGAATCCTTTGGAGACAGCTGGTGCCACTGTCGAATATGCTCAGAGCATTTTCCATAGGATGAACAGATCTGAGGAGGGGAAGGACATTGGCGGGACAAACTCTGTGGTAGTTGTATTAAATCACAAAATTCCTTGGCAGAGCAAACCTAGCAGCACTGTTCATGAAGGGTTCTGACAAAAGCCTGGGTTAGGATCTAGGCTTCAGTCTCCACCATGGTGCCCTGGAGAACCATCAGTTCCTCGGGATCCATGGAATGACAAGCAGCTACTTTCTACCTGAGCTCTTTGGAAAGTCAAGTGGGTTTCAAGTCAAGTGGTTGGCAAGATGAACATTTCATATATAGGACTTAGGCCACGAATCCTGGGGTTCCTTCATCTCCCCGTGTAAATGGGCAAGCCTTTTAAACAGTAACAGCACCTCACATAATTTCCCAGTCCTGAAATGCTCCCAACTGCTTCAGAACTATCAGACTTAGACTGAATATCTCTCAGTCGCCAGGCACTTACTTAGCATGAATGAAGCCCTTGTTTGAGTCTCAGTACCACATAACCAGGGTGAGGTGGCCTGAAGTAGGAGGTTTCTGTCCTGCCCAGTACCACAGTAAACACACAGAAACCATGTTATTTGCAATACTGTTTGGCCAATAGCTTAAACGTATTTCTGGCTAATTCATACCTTAAATTAACCCATCTACATTAATCTGTGTATCACCACAAGGCTGTGGCTTACTGGGTAAAGTTCCAGCATCTGTCTCAGGCGGGGCTACATGGCTTCTCCCTGACCCCACCTTCTTTCTCCCAGCATTCAGTTTAGTTTTCTCCACCTAGCTCTACTCTACCCTATCACAGGCCAGGGCAGATTCTTTATTCACTAACCAAGAAAAGCAACACATATACAGAAGGACCTCCCACCACCAGTGGCCCATGCCTGTAACCTCAGTACTTAAGAGCCAGAGGCAGGAGGATCAAACGTTCAACGTTGTCCTCATCTGCACAGTTCAAGACTGATTGCTAGAGGCCAGCCTGGGCTAATAAGACCCTTTGTCAATAAACCAAAACAGGAACAAACGCACACAAACACACACACACACACACACAGAGTGGGGTAACACAAGACACTACCAACTTATGCTGAGAACTTTGGTTTCTCTCAAGGTTTAAGGCCAGGAACTGACCAACATGCCATCTACTAGTCAAATGCCCACCCCTTTCCTCCCTAACAGATGTTAAAATACATAATCTAGTAGGCTATCAAGGGGAAAAAAACAAAACAAAAAACCAAACAAGACCTCACACCCCAGTAGGGAGCCCCAGTGACAACCCTTTGAAGAGGAAAAGCAACACAGTGTGTTTATTTGTATTTCTGTGCAGTTCCATCCACCCTGATGGGCACTGCTAGGCTAAGTGCAGCTACTCAGCTAGTTAAAACATAAATAAAACCCATCCTCAGGCCATGAAGCAGATCCTTCCAGGAGAAAAAGTTAATAGGCAAACTGCTGCAAGGCGGGGAAATCACAACTCTTCCCTGACCAGAAGAGAAGGGGGCTGTGGATCTTAGCAAAAGCCAGCAGGAAAGAAAGAAGACCAACCACCTACCCACTGATCCTCGCATCCACCTTCAGAATATCGAAAACCTCACGCACTTAAAACCAACCACGTGCATCACCCAGGTTCCAGAAAGCAGAACATCAGACAAAGTGATGTCGGGCTGAAGCGATCTGAGGCACTCCAGCAGGATACATTAAAAAATAGTAACAACACAATCAACACAATCAATGTTTCATCTCCTTGAGGCAAACAATAAGACAAAGGAAAGGAAAACAAGTGCCAAGGTACCTCAGAAACCTGAACAATGACATCCTCTGAACTGCTCTTGGGACTGCAGTGGCCTTCCAGCCTCTTAAAGACCCCTTAACATGCACTCAGACCCCAGGTTTTCTCTACAGACTATCAGGAGTTGAAAATGCAAAGCCCTAACTTCTATAACCACTGTGTTACTATTAACTTTGCAGGAAAAGATGTGGGTGTAGGAGGTGAGACCAAGATACCTGGTCCAAGTGAGAACAACCCAGCCCTCTTTCCCACGACAAGTGGTTAATTCAAAACACAACGCGCGCTTAAAGGATGATGGTTAGTTGTGTGAGCCCACAGAAGTGGCTTTGCTCCACCTTAACATAAGGTCAGAGAGTTCGAGCCTATTATTGCTCCTTTGAGGTCAAACAACAAGATGTTTTGGCCTACGGTAAAGGTGCTGCATGTTTTCCCTAGATAACAGGATGCTTGGGCCAAGGTGTAGCTACTGGAGATTTTGCTCCTCAGTGTTTTGAACTCTGGTTTGTTTCTTGTATCCTGATAAAGTCTTTTTGCCCTCCCCTTTGGTTTGGGGTATAAAAGGACTATGGAAAATACACTGGAGGCTGCAGAATTCACTGACAATCTCCCGAATCTATCCTATGTCTATTTTTGTGTCTCTGTTGTTTCTACTTTCTCAATCCACACGCCTCCCTCCAAGTATGGAGGAATTACGAGAAAACGCTTCAACCCACCTAAAGGCCCTAGAGTAATCCAAAGCCACAGCCAACTTCTGCCAAGGAACATTGGACTGTCCCTACTCTGTCCCAACTATAGCTCACTATGACTAGTTCCTTGATTTGAGTTCCATGTTATAAGTTCACAGACATATTCAAGAACCATTGCTGACAGGAAGAAATACACACAATTTTGTGAACTCAAGACTCAACCCATGCAATCCACTACAAAAGGGAGATGTGGCAATTAGTGGCCACTGGTCATAAGCAGTAAACACACACAAGCGCTAGCTTCGGTGTTAGCAGGGGACATGCCATTGCCTTGTGAATTAAATGTGTGAATCCAGACAGATCTTCATGTCTGAGATGCCCTGGAACTGAGGCTGTTCTAACAGTCTCCAAATAACTTGCACCTGCTTATAGCTGCCTAATTCATGTTTCCCTCCCTCTCTCCTTCTTCATCCCCCTCCCCCATTACTCGAGACAAACAACACAGGGCCTCAGACCTGGTTAAAAAAATAAACCACAGCCACCACATGAGTCTAGTCCTTCACTGGAAGCGGAGCAAACCCAGACATTTAAATGGAGTTTCAGAAGATTGAGGAAGATGTCTTGGGCGGAGGGGGCGGGGTAGGAAAAGCTCGTCAATGGGTTGGGAAGATGATCAGGACACGCGACTTCTTGGAAGGGAGGGTTCCCTGGCATCTCCAAGGGGTAGCTCAGAATGGTCTCGACTTCCCCCAACAAACACTTCTAGAAACATTTGGGGTAAACTGATATAAATTAGACATGTGAACGACACAAACACGGAGCAAGAAATCTTCAGTAAAGAAAGTTCAGTGAGCATCGGCTGCCCAGAAATAAACATCAGGGGTTAGGGGTGGGCAGAGCTGAGGAGGGACTGCTGACAGCTGTGGCCGGCGGGCAGCAGCAGAGGGGAAGGGCTCCAAGCTGGAATTCGGAGCGTGCCCACATCAGCAGAAAAGTTCCTGGGAACAGCACTCTGTCTGGGAGGAACCCTGCGGGTCTCAGGATGCATGCGCTCTGAGATGCAGGGACCAACGGCCGTTAGAGGAAGTCCAGGATCCTCTGTTCCCGGCTGCCCGCAGGTTAAGGCGTCAGCGACAGACGACAGAAGTAAAAGATCTGCTCCTAGAATGAGTGAGTGATTCCCACGTCCAGTCACACTAGATCTCACTATTCCCAAACCAGATACAGTCCCAGAGGGAGTGGAAGGAATCTGGGATACAGATGCGGGGGGCAGCGGAGATGGGAAACTGAGGCAGGAAAGCGCACGTTAAAGGCTGCGGAAGTCTGGGAAGACCCGAAATGAGGGAAAAGTGTTCTTCCCCTCCTCCGTTCCCAGTACACCGAGCCACTCTCGAGCTACGCCCAATCCGGGCGGCCGCCGGGCTCCAGGGAGCGGGCGCCGCACAAAGCTCCGCCCGCGAACACACGACAACAGCACCCGGCGCGCCGGCCCACACAAT